AGAGAGAGAGAGAGAGAGAGAGAGAGAGAGAACAACACAAGGAAAAGACTAACATGCTGAGGTACTGAGTGCTAATCAAAGACTTTTTTTTGAGAGAGAGAGAGAGAGAGAACAACACAAGGAAAAGACTAACATGCTGAGGTACTGAGCGCTAATCAAAGACTGTTTTTTTTTTTGTTTTTTTGTTTTTTTTGTAAAGAAGAGATCATGGTTGCAGTGAAAGCAGATGCTTTTTTTCTATTTTAATGATAATAATAAAAAGGCCTGAAAGGACGTTGCAATCAGACTCGCTTGCACTTCCACTTCACATACATGCAAACAGCTGGCGATTCACACTGGCGCACAGCGCCCACACCAAGCTCAGAGATATGGCAGCCAAGAACACAGTCCAGATGTAAACTCGCTTCAACAGGCTACGCCGCATCAGCGCCGGCACATCACAACTCTCGTCGCTGTGTTCGACACCACCGTTCACCCGCACTCGACTCTGGATCACCCTCCTCAATACACCCACGCACGCTCACTCGTACACGCTCACTAACCTCTAGCACGACAGCGGCTATGGCCGCTCCACTTCTACTAACTATGACTACGCTGTCTCTCTTCTTCAGCGCACTTCGTCTTCGGGCAAACCTGCAGACCACCTTCGCACAAGACGCTGTAGCAGTGCTTCCGCATGGCTTATGCAGCGAACGAATGACTGGCTGGGCGCTGACGCAGCGAACGAATGACTTCTGTAACTCGTTGGTCTGCCCCTTTCCAGCGGGCCCTTGGTGCACACAGTCCCACACGGTACTCGCTTGACTGCGCTCCGACTGACTGGGACCGGTACCGCTGACCGCATGTGTTTGCACTGCCAACTCGATGCAGTCGCACTGCCGACGTAACGCAGTTGGGCTGACCACTTGGCCACTTGCCTCCGACTAAACGCGAGACACTTCGAAAGAGCCACTTCCGGACCTTCCTTCCGGAAGTCTGTGGACTTGGCCTTCCGGGTACTGTAGCAGCTACGACCTTCACCTTTCAGAATCCCTACAGCTACGACCTCTACAAGGCTGCGACTCCTAATCGACAGACCTACAGATTGAACCCCTACCACTACACAGACCTACGACAGGCGACAAACAACTACCATAACACAGGTCACGGGCTCTACAAGCCTGTGACTCCTAATCGACAGACCTACAGATCGAACCCCTACCACTACACAGACCTACGACAGGCGACAAACAACTACCA